CATTCTATCCTAACTTCCCATTCCAGCAGAATACACATACAGAGTGAACGCATGACCACACTGAAATGAAAACTCATTTGTTCAATGTAACAGATGATGTATTTTATTTCATACAATACAGAAAACCAGTAGAAATGTTACAATTCCTGACAAAAAAACAACAATGAGGTGGTCTTTCCATATAGTTCTGAGGCGACACAAAGATGTTATTGGTCAATAGAGAGAATATCAAAATTTGAACTGAATAAATAAGGGCTCAATATAATCAATATGAACAGTATAGGTATTCCATGTTCAACCCGACACGAGATGTAGTTAGTAACGTCTACAGAGAACAGCAACCTTTGTCTGCACAATAATGAATCTTTGAAAAGACATGGATGAAAGACCGCTACAAATCTCCATTAAATAAAAATTACACATTCTTTTAACACCAGTGGACAAACACAATGGTCCCACAGATTTAACAGCAATTTATTGCCAAATATAGGGAGGGGGTACGGGTGGGGGTGGGGGTACGGCATTGCTTTCAACAGACAATACAACATTAGCTGGAAGGTAATGTAAACTTGGTAGAGAAAATGGACACCAACTGAGGAAAATATATATGCTGAACATTAAAGTAAATTTTCTCATATTTTTAAGGTTTAAAATTGTGCAAATTACATAGGAACAGATGTACCCTTTATCATCAAGAAATCGATCCGTGCTACCTGAACTGGTTTTGAAGCAAGCAATCCTCAGACCAAGTATATGATTCAAATATATCTGGTAGTTAAAACCAAAAAGCGAAAATACATAGCACCGACCACCAGTTTGAATCGCCAGTGCACATAGATATACTGTACCTACTACAACATGTGCGAGTGCTCTCTCTCTCTCACTGAGACACCGATGTTTCCAATACAAGACAACTAAAAACCAATAATGACACATTTGTACTCTCTCTAAACAAACACTACTCTGGTAAGAATAGACCCTGCTCCTTTATACAATTTTTGGTGGTTGAGAGAAACTAGTAATCAAAAATTCTCACGATCACTAACACAAATTTCAACTTTATCAGCTGGTTTACATGATTAAAATACAATATTAGGAATGACTAATTCTTATGCTCAAATAAAATTATATTGGTTTGTTTTTTTCTTTAAATACAAAACCTTAGTGGAATAGACTCAAATTACAACTGACATTGGTTTGGCAGCACAATGAAGTAACAAAGAAAAAGCCAAATCTATAAGTAATGAACAATTTTTAACATTCTCTTTTCTGAAAATTAAGAAATGGACAAATCTTATAAGCGTTATTATTGACCACATTTCCAATCCAAATAGAATGAACCATATACTGGTAGATTAAAAAAAACATAGGCTTAGTAAACACTGAATAAAACATTTCTGTTAAATTTGTTGTTTTCAAATTCGCTGTAACAGTCGCAGATCAATATCACCTTACCTTTACCTTACATGAATGACCAACACTGACTGGCCTTATGGTTGACCCCAACACATACTCCAACATTTGGGGGTACTTTGGATCTATATACATTTCCGATATATCACACATTTATTTATCTAATGTTTCCCTGATAACTGCATTTTTTGAGGTAAACAATTGAGAAATTTCTCTTACAGTGAAATTGTACCCCAGAAAAAAAAACTGCTTATAGCATATTGCCTTACAATAAAATAAAGCCGAGACAAAGCGCCATTAAGACAGGATATGTTCTACATGCAAACTCATGTTAGGAGGGCTCCACATCAGTTGTGTGTGTCTCATTAAACATGTAAAAATAAATACAGTTGTGGTCATACAAATATGGAATAATATTCCTTTTTAAGTCCAATGATATGTTGAAAATTCAAAATAAACCATACATTTTCTATTATTACAAACTGTAAACATTCCTACTATTACGGATGAAAAGAAAAAAAAATCCATTTTCTTAATGTGTTTACAAATCTCTTTGGTGTGACCCATTTGTACAGTACATGTACACCAATATAAATTTACATTTTAAGACAATTTTGTTTCAACAAGTACCGTGTGCAAGTTTGTGCTTAGAGGATGCTATCCAAAGCGTATTGTTATAATGTTGATGTAACCATGGTAACAACTGTCCAAATATGATAAATAAACTTGATCATGGAGGCTGCTAATATAGTCTTTTTTCGTACCTGTAAACAAATAAAATCATTCATGAATTTTGTTACATTTTTTTTTTCCCTACAACCGTACATTTTTAATTTGTGAAATTCATTGAACCTCGTAAACAGAATTAAACTTACGAATGCAGTCCATGAACGCCACCTTCATACTGTGCAGCATTGGTCCTCTTCTCAAACTTCAATTCACCCGAATACATCATTGACCTGTGTGAGAGAGAAACACCATTATGATAATTTACATTTATACATTTACATATTTACATTCATCCGGCCAACTTGCTAACATAATTTAAATATGTCTGAGGACGATTGAACATTTTACAATTCATCAGGCATGTTAGTTATAGATATTTATTGTTTAAATACACCCAAGGATATATTAATGCAGCTATTTTATATTTCTTACACTCAATTTGCTAAGTGGCTGTTTACTACAAGCACTATATTCAAAATGACAATCTTGAAGATTTTTTAAAATTTTTTACACAGAAGACATAATGGCCATTTTTTGTCACTACAAATATTCACGTTTACTATACGAATGAACTGTAACAGGAATACCAGTAGTCTCACAGATTTACCGGCAAATTACCCCCCCCCCCCCCCATGGCCAAAGAATTCATAAAAATAATTAGTATTTATCAGAATTTCTTAATAATTCTCAACAATCAGGAGCGCTTATACTGTAAAAGGATTAATTATTCACTGGGTTTTAATTTTGCTGACTGGAAAATGCGCTAAATTAAAACCCAGTGAGTATGTAAAATTTAGCATAGAACACATTATCTAAATGATAAAACCGTGAATTTAAAACCCACTGAATATGCCTGAAATAGTAAATCAGTGAAATTTAAACCCAGTGAATATTAGTCATTTTACAGTATCTGAGAATCGTGTATGATTTTTTTTTGTCACCAAATGTAACTGAACAAATGAGACTTTATTGTAGAAACCATTTTTTATGGAAGTTTGACCAGTATGCAGTGCAAAAAGTAGTCCAGTGATCATATATTTTTAACAAGGTTTTGTGTAAAATAAATAAACAGTCAAAGTAGTGTAATTGACTAAACCATGGTGAAACATAGTGAAATTATAGAAACCTTGCATTGTAATTATAATTGTGTGCACAATATGCAAGTAACAGCACTACAAAGATGCTATTATGTCTATATACACAACATATTCCATTAATTTAATTCTCACTTCTAGCAAGTGCAAGTAGTTCCAGTACCATTTAGAAAATCTAATTCAGCCACTTGGAAATTGGTTTTCGTTACCAAGAACTTTTTACGACACTAACCTTAGCATAGACATACTTTTAGCACCGATGTCTTGACAGCCATGTTGTATACCCGCAATTAGATACGGTATGAACTTGTGTATAGATCCTTTGTCTATAATGCTACCTGACACACCCTGTGCGACTTTTAATTTATCACTCTCACTGGAAAGAAAACAAAACACTTAGCAAGTTAGCATCACACACAGACGAAATCCATCAAAACACAAACTCTTTTCTAAGAATCTTAAATTACATACAAAATTAGTGCTATTTGATTTTCACCAGTGAAGAAGACTAATATATGTGTACCGATAACTGCGCTGTATTATAAAAGTACTAGTAAATATCAAGTTTATGTGAACATCATCAAATTAGTGTTCGTTTGATTAACATGTACGTAGACAGGAAAGTTCAGAGTTCAGAGAAGAAACCATCATACCTTTAGTGTGCAAACACACTTAAATACTATAACCAAATATGGTTAAATGTTCTATTTTATTAAACTCAGTAAATAATAATTTGTACACTGTCGAACCAAATATGGTTAAATGTTCTATTTTATTAAACTCGGTAAATAATAATTTGTACACTGTCTAATCAAATATGGTTAAATGTTCTATTTTATTAAACTCAGTAAATAATAGGTGATTTTCCGTACAATTACGAGATCTCGCGAGATGCATGAAAGACGCGCGTCGAACGTATGCCGCAAAAATCGAACGATTTGATTTTGGACTTGAATTTCTTTATTGCGTAGCTCACATCGACCGGCCAATCTTCGACAGAGGAATATTGCTTCCGAATACCCTTACTTAATCGAAATTGCTTATCATCAAATGTGGACAGCACATTATTAAGCATGGAAATGTCCCCCAAAATACTTTCGCATTTGTCGGAATCCCACACGATGTTTGACGCGACTACGACGCTATGACCTTTGTTTGTCCTGTTTTTACATTCGATTTCTCGCATAACGCGTGATTCTCGCAGTGAACGGAAAATGGTCTATTTGTACACTGTCTTAAAATTTGCTGGAAATTCATACATCACAGATAAAAAGTGCAGAAAATACATGAACACTGTATATCCTGTATCACCAACAATTTGACATTTTTCTCGAGCCAGGAAACAAATTGCACAATTTTGTAGAAGCGTTAATTCACTGTGGTCTTAAGACTTGTAAACTCAACAACAAAAATTTATCACTTTATTGCCAATGGGAAGAAGAACTCAGAAACCTCTAAAATACTATTATTAACCACACCCTGATCACAATACCCGCTTAAAGTGTTTAAAATGATTCAAAAACTGCAAATGTTTGATTACAAGCAGGACCCATTCAAATGTTTTGACCGTGAAATCCATTGAAACAAACCTGTGAATTAATATCATTGTGAATCGCCAGCCAGGTGATAAATCCTGAAATCATTCATCAACCAGTTATTGTATTAGCAATTCTTATTATTTTATTTTGTGAAAATAAAATGCGAAAGATCGTGACGTTGGTGTCAGCCAGAGTTGCATGAAGAGTGGTCAAATTCTCTAGGTCATAAAGATAGCACCCTAGCTTGAGGTGAATAATGCCAAAATAACATTGCAAAAACGTCATTGGTATGTAATGTCAAAGACCATGATGATTCTAAGATGAGTTGAGAGTGATTTTTGTTTTCTAAACTGAATTTATACATAAACTACTGTAAAACATGTTGAAAAAGCGGCATGCAATTTTAGCGAATTGTGGTAAAATGACGTAATAGCAAAATGTTGATTTAGCGAATCTCTCTTGTCATTGTTGATTTCTTTGTTTGGCGGCCATTCGGAGTTGACAATAAAGTCATTAGCGACATCTCGAATTAGCGAATCAGTTCTCTCGCTAAATTCGCGAAAAGGACATGCTCGAGAAAAAGACGTTTTACAGTATTTAGACCATGAATGAATATGATTCAAGAATGATTTTTTTCCTTGTATGGTAAATTTCAGTAAGAACTCACAATTTGTAGAATATTACAAACTGCTCTAGACTGTGGTTGTGAACTCATTTTTTCAACGTGCAACATTTCAAAACAAAAACGCGGTTAATAATAGGATTTTAATGGTAATATTAAACTTTTACAAGGGTATATGATATGCAGAATTTTCTAATCCAGGTTTTAATTGATAAATACATATCCATGGCAACAGATAAAGCAAAAATGTAGGCATACCTTCACCTTCTCTTCAATCCAGGAAATACAGTAAGTGAAAGTCTAACAATGATAATTATATCTAATTACGTGTGCAAGACAGAAAATACAAATTTTGAGGAAGACTTCACATCAACATGGAGTATCGTTTTTGTTTAAAAAGAAAAGAAAAAGGAAAAAGATTCAAGATGTCCGACAGGAAGAGGTTGAAAAACTACTTAACAGGCTACCAGTAATAAACAGTAACGAATCTAAAATGGGAGAAACCATTTGAATGGTGGGTTAAGTTGGGGGAAGAGAAGGGGCTATGAATGTCAAGCAACTTACCCTAACAAGTCAGATATAGAAGAATCACTAAATGAGAATAGATGAAATAATGTAAACATAGGAACGTGGGGGGAAAAAAATAGACACATAAATGGAAGTAATGACAGAGAAATAAATACATGTGAAGAACCTGAAAGCGAGGAGTGTAACAGATCAGAGAAGACAACACTCCTTATTTTAAAATTACACAACGTTTATAAACACGTTATAAGAGAATTCACATCCTCGTCAAAGGCTCAAAACATTGGAGATTAAAATGTTGTCATGGGGATAATGGACAAGTACTTTAACATGTGAATTATGAAACAAAAAAACAGTAGAATTTTCTTTTAATGTTACACTCACACAAGCAACATTTGCATCAAAAGTTAAACTCTGATTTTGAGTATGTAAATTTGACAGATAAAGCATATTTAGACGAGTCAGATGAATGGTTGTCAATGGTTACGGTAATTAATACACAGTGACACTAAATACCAAAAATATCCAGAAAAGCGATTAACCATTATGTCTGAGTGGTTTTAGTGTAATATTCAAATTTAGTACACTGAAATTGAACACATAATGCGAGACAAGTGGCGATAAGACACTGAAAACCTGGAAGACATGTTTTTAAATAAAAGGGAAAAGGGTGAATAGTTGTTTTTCATCCAAAAGAACATGGGGAAACCTACTATTGGTGTTATGAAATGTTCATCATTTGATACCTTGCGTTAAACATCAGGAACAGTATACAGTATACCACCCACATTCTCAAATGCTGCAATAAGATTGTTTCTTTTCTACACCATTGTGTTCAGTTCAATAAGTATTAGATAAAAACCACAAGTACTAATGTCCCTTTCAAGGACAGACGTCTTAAGACAGGTACCTATTATCTTTTACTGAAATTTTCCCTTTATTTCTCGCATACATTACTCGGAGTACCAATCCTATACCATAAACACTACAAGTTTAATTGCTGATGTTTTCATCCATGTATTCGTAAAAAGTGTATACACAATTTGCAAAATATGATAAACACGACTCCCAGTACAAGCTGAAAACATAAAATATGTTAAAATAATGTTTCAATCTAAAAATATACGAAAAAAGGTATATAGTTAATCCTGCCCTAATTTCCTGGTTATTTTATTTTGAGAGTGCTGGCGAGTCTCATCCCTTAAATAAACATACCTACAACGTAACTGGCCTCCTAATTCAGTGAGTGTATTTATTTATAAATCCAGCTCAATTTAAGAGGATCACCTAAATTCATATTTTGCATTTAACTTCTTGATTACCCAGCCACACTCAACAATTGATATCATATATATATATATATGCCGTAATAGAGGAATTAATACACAACTACATGAATATTGAAACTCGACAGCACTGTTTCGTAAGGTACAAGTATCTCACTCATCAGGAGCTTTATGTTTAATTCACTGCACCAACGAGCATACATATACTTCGCAAAAAAAAAAAAAACGGCCACGCAGTAATGTCCTTTGGTACAACCCACCATATAGCTGCAACGTTCGTAACAGTATTGGCGAAGCGATTCCTGGATTTAATTGATAAGTGTTTCCCGACTGGCAATAATCTCAGGAAAATATTCAACCGAAATACCATCAAAGTCAGCTATAGCTGTATGAACAATATAAAAGATACCATCAACAGTAAAAATCAAA